ATACATAAAATTTTATATACAAAGAGATGAAACATTTATAGAAAATGCTATGTGCAGAACAAGAGCCGAGCATAAGACAATGTTTTTACCGAGGAAGAGGTGTGTAAGGGACAAGAGTTGGATCAGAAGCAACGAGAGGCAACTTGTCAATGTACATCAACAACCTCTTCAGATTCTCCTTGTAAATCCCCGGTAACTCCACAATGTCTACACTCGAAGTGTAAAGCCACAAATCACCGGAATTCACTCTTTTCAAGCTTCCTCGACAGAACGGGCATGATTGTGACCGTTCGCGCCTGTTCCAAACATAGAAACATCCGATTAAGTCGAAAGAAAGATATAAGGTGAAGAAAGTGAGAGAGTGACTAAAAAGAAGAAACTTATACCAGCTTCTGTAGCAATTGATGCACATGGAGTGATTGCAAGTAGGAAGAACAACTTTATTTCGAATCTCCAAGCAAATACCACATTCTTCTTCCCTCTCCAAATCGATTTCCGACATCTTCCCTTTCTCTGTTCTGTCCTTTTTCCGGTATCTTTTCTCGCATACCTCCTTCTGTTTCCTTTCTTCTACATCCGTTATCCCTCCGTGAAGTTGCAATAGCGAAGGAAACAACACATCTGTCCAGCAACATCCATTGTTAGTCAGAAGAACATATCTAATGGACATTATTGAATCAATGTCTAATCTAACCATAGAATTCTTTGATACTAGCTTTGCGCTCGTGTAGCGACATTGTGGTCTTCCCATCAACATATGCCTATAAAAAGAAACAGAGACTCACATATGAGGCAAACAAGAACAGAGGATCAAGATCCAATAATGTCCAGCAACAAAAATCAAGTAAAATCCACCTTATAAATAAGAATCCTAAGCAATCCCAAAGCGCCAACGAAATGACAATCTGTCCACTGAAGAAGGAACAGAAATAAATGAGCCGCCGGGCTGTAAGACAATCGCATCTGCACGCAGCCACCATCATACTCCTCTCGATACGCAGATGCCCTTCAAAACAAAGTAAAATAAAACCAAAAAAGTCAATCACTTTAAACCATTTTCTTAATTTATCTATAACACTGGTTCTTGGGAACATGAACATGTTTCTTCACAGCTTTAATCCAGTGTACCAAGTCAACTTGGGATAAGATCAGGACTATAAGAAAAGAAAAAAGGAAAGGAAAATTCATTGACCAATACAAGATTTGTGTGTGATTTGACTAAAAGCAATGGTTGCGTCTGAGACTCGCATTAGAATTATTTGGTCGCGTAAACGCAAAGTCTCAAGTTTCATTCTGACAACAGCAAACAAACCCAGCAGAGAAAAGAGATTCAGATTCACAAAAGTATCCAATTTGAACAAAACAATCTGGAAACTTCGAGAGAACTCAAACTCGGAGAAACCAAAACAGTACTAAAAAGCTGTTTAAAAAAAAAAAAAGACATCAAACAAATCTCCGAAGCGATCAGACTAAAGAACACGATCAGATTCCACCGGAAACATCCAAATATAAAACAACGAGAGAGAGAGAGAGATTTTACAGAGTATTGGCGAACTGAATATCAGCTTCAAGAGCCTTGAGTGAATCTTTGAACGATTTTCGCATCTTCCTTGTTCACTCCTTGAGGAGAAGACGATTCAACATAAACCACAGCTTCCCAAGTGTGAGGAAAAACAGAACTTGTTCTTCCCTAAAGCCCTAAATCCTTTACTTTCGCTAGAGATCACCGACACAAGCCTAAAATATCGCAAAAACCCTAACAACTCTAATAGATTCTCTCTCCCATTTCCATGGAAAAAAGGAAAAAATTTTGAGATTTAACTTACTCAATCCGAGGTAGAGACAGAGAGAGAGAAACTAAAATTCGCGTAGAGCACACGTAAATACACACAAAAGGAGCGTTTTAAAGAATTTAAGCTCTTTTTCTTTGTTCAAGAAGGAAACCTTTTTCCTTTTTCTCTCTTTAATTAAGCAAATTAAATAATAGTAAAGGTTTTATGGGAATTTGCAGAATTACAATAAAGCCCTCCCTCAAAAGATAGCAGGATAATGTTATTTATTTGAATACGAATTATTATTGAGTGACATGGCGGTGACAAGACGTGTGTCACCGCTTCATGCATTGGTGTGTGTAGAACTGTGAGCCTAGTAGAAATATATGACCGACGTCTGTTTTTTTGGATGTTAGTGGAAACCACGACACGTCGCTCAATACACTGACCGTGTGTACCAGCTTTGACGTGTCTCCGTTTCCTTACGGTAGAAGTGGACCCCCTCCTATCATAGCATACCAGATTAAATGCAATAATGTTATTTGCATTAAATCTCAATGTTAATATAATCTTCGGTTGGATTTACATATATATTTATGGAATATTTGCATGCTTGGATCACGAAAGACCATGTAATTTGTTTGTTTAATTTGGGGTTTTAGGATACGTATGTGACCTACGTGTGCTTTTACAATGAATGAATATGGATGAGGGCAACACAACAATAATAGTAATTTTGTGACATGATTGGTTATCATTATTAGTGAAAAAGATAAAGATTAATAACGATAATGACTCGCATCACAACCGCTAATTCAACAATGAAATGAAGAAACAAATTAAAGCAAATTAACCTTCTTTTTTTTTTTTTCTCTTGTCACAACTCACAAGAAAGCAAATTAACTTAGATTGCTCTAGTACTTTAGATCACTAAACTACAAATTGAATCCGTTGGTAATTAGTGAATTAAAATATAGGCTACAAGCCTACAACTAGATGT